TATTGTGTATGAAATATTTAGTATACTGGACTAAAATATATTTCGTCGTACTATAAAAGTCATGACGATTTTACTAGCATGTCCTTATTGGTATTAATTCTTAGGTACATGTGAATAACGTTGCGTCTCATAATTCAACACAAACATTTAATACACACCCATTATTTGAACAATTAGGTATGGTGCACTTCTTGTCAACACCAAGACCATAAAGTATAAATCGAATTGTGTTATGCCTAACAACATGGCACCGTTTTTAGATGTGAGAGCATTTCCAAAAACTCTTTATTTTTAAAAGGTATGTTTTTTCATTTGAAGAGCATCTATAAATTTAGAATTAAAATTTTAAAATACTCAAACAAACTCTTTATATTTGGCACTTAATTTTATTGTTCCCAAAAAATATTTATTATTTTTCTCCATCTTTTATTTTAACTAACTTTTATGTAGATAATAAATAATATTTTCCTACATTAAAAATTGAAACACTTTAATGTATTCAACTATAAAGTGGGTTTAACTACTCTCTATATTAAAATGTTAATTTAAAGAATATCTTAAAGCATGATTTTAAAGGTTGACTCTTTAAAATAGAAGCAAATCATGTTTAAAAAGTCTTTTAGAGATGCTAATTACTTGGCAAATTTTTAATAATTTTGTAAACAATGACCAGCCAATCCGATCACTGAGCTGGTGACGAATCTAATACTATGGCAACACCTATTGACATTAGATACCAACTCATTCACTACATTCACTAGAATGGTATATACACTTCCAGTAAAAACAATATTCATTTCGGAACTTATTTACTTATAAGTAGACCTTCTAAGCTTACCAAACGTGCTCTAAACTCGACTTATAAATATAATTTCCCCAAATGCACCTTCTCCAGAGTAACAACAATAAAAACAGCACTAGCAGAGGCTTCATTCACGCAGCAAAATCATGAACCTCCTGCTTTTGAAAATTGAAATATTTCTTGGCCCTGATATTCACATGGCCAAAATGACAATAACAAACCTCAGTTTCCGGGTAACAAATTAACGCGACTTGATGTGACTCGGGATCAGATCGATCGCACAAACAAGTAGTAAGTCAAAGATTCCACGTGAATACAATATAAGTCCGAAAATTCAAGAACACAAAATCATCCATGCTCCAAATCGACCACCTTAATTTACAAGATTCGACTAATATATAAATTACGATGAGCATGAATATGAAATATAATGTTAACCGGACTACGGCACATAAATAAAGGTTATTCTGAAGTTTGAGAACAAGTTAGATAACAGCCAGCTTCTCCATTAGCAGTCAATAACTAGAGCTAAACTAAGGGTTCATATGTATGTACTATATATATTACAGGCACACACGACTTTCTGCTATCGAATCTCAACGTCCGTCCAATGATTTTAATCTCTTGGCTGTACTAATGAACTCTGCAATTACTTGTATCTCGTCCACCTGCTGTTGTTGTATCAAATGAGGCAAGACATCAGAGTTTTTACTCCTTCTGGCACACTAACTTTGTGCATTTGGCTGAGTGCGTGCATGTGTGAGTTTTCTTTGAGAAAATTGCATCGTTAGTCCTCTAGTTTCATCATAGATTGAAGACCAACTTGCTACTCAAGCGATAGGTTAAAGACCAATGGTGCAACTTTCCCTTTTTCGTTTTGGTGGTTGGTGATGGGGGCGGGGCGGGAAGTTAATAGAGAGGAACCTGTGAAGAAAAATGTTGTTGCACAGCCTTAATTAGCTGCTCCTTCGTAGGATTAGCACTTGCCTGAATATGGAAATCAAAAAATGGCATTAAGCAAAATATGTAACAAGTTCAATAAATTGAAAAGGTAAAGGGAAGGAAAATGATGAAAGGTAATATAACACTGACAAGGTTGAAGCGTCGCCGGTATCTCCACAACGATTTGGTTCCTAGTTTTGCCAAATTCACTCGCTGATCAGCCCATTAAAGAAGCAAAAGTCGGATCTATGATACAAGCAAGATAAGATTGCTCTATTTTGTGATACTCAGAGTGCTTTGCACCTGGCAAGAATCTAGCATAACCCGAAGACAAAGCATATTCGAGTTTAATATCACTATCCAAGAAAAGGTGGAAGATGTGTGGATATAAAGAAAATCCTAACAGAGGATAACCTAGCAGATATGTTAACAAAGAAAATGGGTAATGACAAATTCACATGGTTTCGATCCTCTATCAGCCTAGTAGAAACGTAAGTAACAAGGAAACGACAAGTAAAGAAGGATAGAAGGATTACAATAAAAGTGACTTTAAATGGGAGAAATGTTGACTATAATATAAAGCCATTTTTGTTGACATTCCACTATGCAGCCATTTTGTTCACGGTCGAAATAAGTACCGTGTATGTAAATAGTGAAAAACAACCGTACACAAAATCTCGTTCTAATACCACTATTAGGAAAAATATGGGGCAAGATTGGCCAGCAACTAAAGTGAAATTGAGAAACAAGCAGCTAAAAATTAGACACGGATGTTTATGTGGTTCATCCAATATAGGTACATCCACAGCAAGTATAGGAGGATTTCAAGATAGTTAAAAAATTACAATAACATTCTCTCTAAATATAAGAAGATAACAACTAATCTCTCTTGTTGTAAAAGAAACTAAAAAGAAATTACTCAAGAGATCAATATATTTCTCTCTATAATTTTATGTATCTCTATACTCGCTATGTTTTCCCTCTACTATGTGTAGCAGCAAATAACCCACTGTTTCTCTTTCTCCCTACAATTATTCGTATTTCTCTTTGGACTTTATTGTCAATTTATATTGAAATTTTCACGCCCTCATTAATTGTAGGACCACAATCTCAATACAAATAGCAAAACATTGGTAGGCGTCTGTACATATTTCGACTGAAGATCGAAAATTTTCAATTTTTCAATCTTAGCATTAAATGCAAACTAACTTTACATTTAACGCATATGATAGTTGAAGATTTATTGGGATTATCCTAAATCCATTCAAGTCAAACACAATGGCTGTCTAATGAAGATGATTCTTTAGGGCAGTATGATGTAAGTTGGGTTACAAAACTAGAGTCTATCATGACTGCTTCTACTATGGAGGTAGAATATGTGGCAGCAACACAAGCTAGAAAAGAGGCAATTTGATGGCAAATGTTGACAGAGGAGCTCGAACACAAATAAGAGAAGATTGTTCTATTCTATGATAATCAAAGCGCTTTGCACTGAGCAAAGAATCAAGCATTTCACCTAAAACAAAGCACATCCGAGTTCAGTATCACTTTGTTCAAGAAAATGTGAAAGAAGGAAGTGTAGATATAAAGAAAATTCATACAAAGGACAGCCTAGCAGATATGTTAACAAAGTAAAATAGTAATGACAATTTTACATGGTTTCGATCCTCTGTTGGCCTAGTAGAAACGTAAGTAGCAAGAAAATGAAAAGTGTAGGAAGGATAGAAAGGTTTCAACAAAAGTAACTTTAAGTGGGAGAAATATGGCTATATAAAGCTCCTTTTGTTGACATTCTACCGCGAAATAAGTACCGTGTATGTAAATAGTGAAAAACAACCGTACACAAAATCTCGTTCTAATACCACTATTAGGAAAAATATGGGTCAAGATTGGCCAGCAACTAAAGTGAAATTGAGAAACAAGCAGCTAAAAATTAGACACGGATGTTTTATGTGGTTCATCCAATATAGGTACATCCACAGCAAGTATAGGAGGATTTCAAGATAGTTAAAAAATTACAATAACATTCTCTCTAAATATAAGAAGATAACAACTAATCTCTCTTGTTGTAAAAGAAACTAAAAAGAAATTACTCAAGAGATCAATATATTTCTCTCTATAATTTTATGTATCTCTATACTCGCTATGTTTTCCCTCTACTATGTGTAGCAGCAAATAACCCACTGTTTCTCTTCCTCCCTACAATTATTCGTATTTCTCTTTGGACTTTATTGTCAATTTATATTGAAATTTTCACGCCCTCACTAATTGTAGGACCACAATCTCAATACAAATAGCAAAACATTGGTAGGCGTCTGTACATATTTCGACTGAAGATCGAAAATTTTCAATTTTTCAATCTTAGCATTAAATGCAAACTAACTTTACATTTAACGCATATGATAGTTGAAGATTTATTGGGATTATCCTAAATCCATTCAAGTCAAACACAATGGCTGTCTAATGAAGATGATTCTTTAGGGCAGTATGATGTAAGTTGGGTTACAAAACTAGAGTCTATCATGACTGCTTCTACTATGGAGGTAGAATATGTGGCAGCAACACAAGCTAGAAAAGAGGCAATTTGATGGCAAATGTTGACAGAGGAGCTCGAACACAAATAAGAGAAGATTGTTCTATTCTATGATAATCAAAGCGCTTTGCACTGAGCAAAGAATTAAGCATTTCACCTAAAACAAAGCACATCCGAGTTCAGTATCACTTTGTTCAAGAAAATGTTAAAGAAGGAAGTGTAGATATAAAGAAAATTCATACAAAGGACAGCCTAGCAGATATGTTAACAAAGTAAAATAGTAATGACAATTTTACATGGTTTCGATCCTCTGTCGGCCTAGTAGAAACGTAAGTAGCAAGAAAATGAAAAGTGTAGGAAGGATAGAAAGGTTTCAACAAAAGTAACTTTAAGTGGGAGAAATATGGCTATATAAAGCTCCTTTTGTTGAGATTCTACCATGAAGACATTTTATTTGACTTGGATGGATTTAAACAAACACAAGAAATCCTCAATTATGATGTGTATCAAATGCAAAGTAGGTTTGCATATAATGCTAAGATTGCAAGATTGTAGCTAAAATATGTACAGAGATGATGGTCAACTTTTACTATTTGTGTTGAAATTGTGGTGCTACAATTAATGAGGGATGTGAAATTTTCACTATGAATTGACGATGGAGTTTGAGAGAAATGCGAACAATTGTACAGAGGAAGAGAAGCACTGAGTTATCAGCTACAAATAGCAAAGGAAAAAAATAGCGAGCGGAGAGATATATAAAATTAGACAGAAATATTTGTATTTCTCCCAAGTGTTTCCTACTTAATTTCTTCTATTACAAGAGAGTAATTATTATCCACTTGCATTTAGAGAGAAGCTTATTGTAATTTTTCTAATATAATAAAGTTCTCATATACTTGCCATAGACATATCCTATATTGGTGGAACCATGCGAATATGTGTGTCCAATTTTTAGCTGCATTTTTCTCAATATCACTTTGGTAGCTAGCCAATCTTGACCCACCATTTTTTTGCATTGAGGAGAAATTTTTAGTGATGGCAAAAAAACCCGCCCCGTCCCACCCTGATGGGCCCCTGCTCCCAATAGGGCAAAAAATCCACCCCGAACAAGTTGGCGGGGTAGGGTTGGGCACCTTGAACCAGCCCCTTGAAGGGGAAAAAAATTAAAAATAATTTTATTTCTAGACAATTCACCCGTTAAAAATTCATTTTGAATTTGTATTTTATTCTCTAATAATAACATAACTCGAAAATTTGAAAATAAAAAAAATTAAGCGGGGCAAAAAGTTGCCTTGCCACCGCTGCGTCCCGCCCCGTCTAAGGCTGGGCGAGGGGAGAGGGTGCT